GCCTCTGCTTCTGGAGTGCCGGGATTAAGGATGTGTGTCGCCACCGCTCGGCAGGGAGTGTTTTTTTAATAACACCTTTCCCCTAGTTTCACTGCCGGCTTGCTTCCCTTAGCTATCACAACACCCACTCTCTTTGGGCTAGAAATATCTTCCACGGTAATTTGGGTAAAGTCTAAATCAATTGTGATATGTCAGCTATTTATAGCCCCCTCCTTCCTCAAGTCCACCTATGATGAGTCAGAGGGATACCTTCTTCAGGGTTGGCCTTCCTGGCTCTGGCTGAGTTCTCAGCATCCTGTGGCTTTTTGATGCAAATGCTACGGTTTCCCAAGCTAGTATTACTAAATAAGGAACTTTACCACCCAAGGTCCCCAAAGGATAGCACATTCAAGCAGGCAAGAACAAAGCCCGGAGGCACTTACAAAGTGGGAACTAGGGAAAGGCACTCTATAAAGGACAAGGCCCTGACACAGGTCTGGTGACACAGAACTGCTGCTACTCATCCCTGAATCCGTAGGGTAGGGACTAGTAGAGCCACTGGGACATAGCCCCCAGGAAGAGGTTTAACAGACCACACTGAGACGGCTGGCTAATAGGTGCAGCCAGCTCAAGACAAATCCGCAAGAAGTCGGGGAAATAAAGTTCCTCACCGCCCTACTTCCCCCCAAATCTTGTGAGGCTCCTACTTAGCCACATCAGCCTCCCAGGTGGGATGGAATACAGGTCTGGTGCCGCAGAGGAAATTATCGGACACGCAAAATAAACAAAATGGACTACGAATGGCTAAATGGTGACCAGACAGAATCAAACTAAGGGTCAAGAATTCCTCAAAACTGGGGACCGTTAAAACCCGACGATCTCGAATAACTTGCTTTGCATTTCTAGGAAGACCTCAAGCTTCTGCATTCCACCCCGATTGTCAAAATCCGAGTGACTGTGACTCGTGCCAACAAACAAAGCCTCCCATTTTCTTTGATTCTTAATGTTCTCTCATCTGAGTGTTCTAGCATGTGGCAATGTCCTACCCACAATCTGGCTACATAGGAGATCTCAGGCAAACAGCCATATGGGTGCCACCAGAGAGCTCTGGTAGCGGGCTCTGTGGTTCTCAGCTCTCCAGTGTCCTGAGAGAATGCTACAGTGTACTCTTAGGAAAGAGGTGGGTGGTGGAGACAGTGTGAGAAAATCAAGGCAAAGGTACAGAATTTGTTGGAGAAAATCACAGATCAAGACTAGAGACAGGGCTGGGTGTGGAGGAGCACGCCTTTAATCTCAGAACTCGGGAGGCAGAGGCAGGTGGATCTCTGTGAGGTCGAGGCCAGCCTGGTCTACAAGAGCAAGTTCTAGGACCACCAGGGCTACACAGAGAAACCCTGTCTCAAAAAACAAAAGCAAAAACAAACAAAACTATAGACAGAATTCTACCTGGGAGTGGAGGACAAGGCTGGAGAGATGGCTCAGCCGCTAAGAACATGCTAAGAACATGTACTACTCCTGTAGAAGACTGGAGTTCCGTTCCCAGCACCCACATCACAGCCACCTGCGACTCTAGCTCCAGGGGCTCTAACATCTCTGTCTTCACTGGCACCTGTACTCACATGCACATACACACACATACACATGGTTAAAATTAAATTACCCTTTAAAAAAAAATGTACCTGCCTGAGAACTGGCCCCACCCTTGCTCATTGCTCCAAGGGGTGAGCTAGCCAGGGGCAATGCTGGAGAGCTCACCCTAGCGTTGAGGATGTCGGGGAGCTGGCCAGCTGGCCAACCCTGCAACTACCCAGGCCCAGAACCAGGGTTACGAGTTGGCCCGCCCCAACATCCACCCCATCTATGATCTGCTGGAGTATATGAAGGGGCCAATTCTGCAGACCCAAAGCCGCAGGAACTCCATGACACAGGGCAACAACAGGATATCCGAGAGGAGTCCCAGTGAGGGCCCAGCATCAATAGTGCAGCAGAAACCAGAGGCCTGAACCAGACCAATGACTGTTTGTAATGAACACTTCCAATAAAGATATATGGACTAAACGGTTTACTTCGTGACTCTCTATGTCACACTACAGCTTCCATGACAAGATTTCTCCTTTTCTTTTATCTTTTCGTCTCTTAAATTTTATTTTGAGGGTGGGGTTGTTGCAAGGGCAGAGGGTGGATACAAAGAGACAGGGAAATGAATGGGATCCAGATGCACGATGTGACAGACACAAAGAATAAATAAAAAGAATGTTGAAAAAGAAAACAAAAACACCTGTCCTAACCAAGCTTCTCGCCCACCGAAAGAAACCTTTAGACACTAGTGATAGACCAAACCAGCAGGACAGCCACAGCCTTCTAAAGCCACCGACAACAGCCAAGGTAAAGCTCTGTCTTAAATTCTCAGTCTGCAGTCCTGCTTGACTAGGTCCTAAGAACAATGGTTACATGATAGGACTTGAGGAGCTTCAAAGGGCCTTGTAGACCCCAAACATCTCCAAAGTCCATCATTTGAGTCAATTGTTTATGCCGAGAACCTGCTCCCAGAAGTCCTCAGCTGAAATGTGCACGATTGCCCCCAAAAAGCATGATTGCCTTTTGGCTACTATCTTGGCTTTTTCAGCATCCTTTTTCTTTCCGGTGTTTGGAAACTCTGTCTGATATGGGCATCTGCAAGATGCACAGCCCGTTTTTGTTTTATTTTGTTTTGTTTTCAAAACGTCTCCCCTAGGGGCACATCAGGTGTTCAGTTCAGTGCCCATCCTGTTGGCAGCAGGCAGGACCACAGGACCAATGGTCAGATAACCATGGACTTGCTCCAGGCTGTGCATCAGTTGGTGGCACAGAGAATTTAGGGAAGGGTAGCTGATGTCAGTGGCAATGACTGTAGACCTGGCAGCGGTGGGAGCTATGGATCCAGGATGCAGGGCTGGTTGCAGTCACATTCTCAAAATTGTTGTCTCTGGCATATTTAGACTGTGGTCCTAATGATGACATGCCCTGTTCCCACCCACTTTCCAAGTTGGATCCTCAGCCTCCCAAGGTGTTCAGAACAACCCAGGATCCTTTGCTTAAATTCCTTTGATCAGGTAAAATCAGCCTTTTGTTGTGAGATACTCAAAGCACCAACAGCATGCTAACTCAAGACCTGCCACAGATAAGTTCTTTCGTTCAATTATTATTATTATTATTATTATTATTATTATTATTTCAGAAAACAGGGTTTCTCTGTGTAGCCCTGGCTGTCCTGGAACTCACTCTGTAGACCAGGCTGGCCTCCATCTCAGAGATCCACCTGTGTCTGCCTCCCAAGTGCAAGGACTAAAGGCATGTGTCATCACCATCACCTGGCTAAGTTCCTCTGCCTAATTAGCTAGTCATCACTCCAGAAAATATAAGGGCCCAGGAAATAGGTCTTATTAAGGGGTGATTATGAGAGCCTGTCTTTGAGAGCAGTGGCTGAGAGAGGTCTCCAGCAGGACAGGGCAGAGGCTTCAAGGCAGCATCAGGAACACAGAAAGCACCTGGCAAGAATTATGCAGGAAGTGACAAGCCACTGATAGGAAAGGTGGGTGACTGTAAGAACAAAATCTAATGGCATCTAAGGGTTGCCACTGATGCTGTGGAATATGGTGACTTACTGGGACAGTTGTGTACAGCATTCAAGGAAAACTACTGCTTTGCCAAGTTAAGACTGAAAGATTCAGGCATTATGCTGGCCTGCCCCGTTACCTGGTGGAACAGGCAGTACCCTGGTCAGCCCAGGGTTCCATGGGAACTAAATCTGCACGAAGGTGCAGAGGACCCCTTTAATCCCTGCCCATTTACACTCTCTCTACACTACTCTCTCTACACTCTCTACTCTTCTCTCTGCTTCTGTTCTTCTCTTCTCTCTGTCTCTTCTCTCTGCTTCTCTATGGCGACCGGCCATGGCGGTCAGCCATTTACCCTGTTTCTCTTCTCTTTTAGCCTCCCTACTCTGCCGGGCCTATAATAAACTGGTTGATATGTCTAACATGTCTCATCTGCCTCTCTTTTCTTCTTTATTTCTAATTTGAGCAGAAATTTAACAAAGACCATCACTTTTCTCTTTGATTTGCCTTAACAGTTCTGCTGACATTAGTCTACACAGTAACAGAGATCAGTTTCTGTCCTCTCGGTTGCCCTTGCCACTTTACGACTTAGAAAGTGGAGATGAGAAGCAACAGCGACTGTGTAAACTTGTACCTACCAAAAAGATGGGGACTGTGACTTTACATTGCCCCACAGGGAAGAGCGCAGGCATATTCTGCTTTTCTTGGAAGAATGCAGGGAGAAAGGACTTCAGGAACCGGGTACTGAACATTACTATATAATTGATATAGAGTGGGCGGGTCCCCAGGTAGCAGGCTTCGATGTCCTTCCTTTCTGCATTCCTCTGTCATCCCTCAGAGCAAGCACAGCTTTTGGGTCACAGAGAGGGTGACCTCAGGCTGAGTTACCATTCTCTTAGCTTGTCCATGGAAGCAAGGGGAGCATCATGTCTGTCTGCTAGAGACCAGATGTGAACCCAGGGCCCTTGGAAAGGGCCTGCTACTGACCCTTTATCACTGAAGTGACCTGGCAGTATCTTAGGATTCTGGTCCTAGGTAAATCTCACCCTCCTGGGACATGCAGTGGGAGATGTATTTATTGTCAAGTAGCATCAGAATGTCACCCTTTGCCTCCACGGATGTCACAAAAGAAAGATCATTGAAAAAAATAACCCAGAGGAAACCACCAAAGGACAAGATACATTTGATTTAAAAAATATTTATGAGCCACGCCCTTTATTCTAACAGAATGTCACTTAATAAATATTTCACCAGGATGATGAGGCTAAATTTCAAGGGTGGGAGAATTTAATGGGACTAAGGATGGAAGTTCTTTAAATTTTAATTTAACCTTCATGGCATCACACCAGCATCTGCAGATGTGAAGATGCATCCCAGAAAAGCATCCTCATGGGTACAGATCAAATTCTAACGTTGGCACAGAGGTCAGTATATGGAGGACCAGTGACACCGGCTCTTGATGACCTGAAGCAAAGGCTTCTTAAAAGTGAGGAAGATGACGGTGCAGGCCACCAGCAGGGTGAGGCAACTGGGCAGAATGAGGACGAGGTAGAACAAGCCAGTGTCCACCTGCCCCCACTTACAGTCCCGAGGCATGCCTTGGGGCAGCTCTACTACACGAACGATCTTGGAAGAAAGGTTGCACGTGACCATGGCCAAGTCTGCAACAGTCTTGAAGTGCTGCAGGGCCCCCCATCCCTCCACCCCACAGCAGTCATAAGGGTTCTGGCTGAGGTAGATGGCCTGTAGACTCCTCAGTGGCTGCTCAGACACAGCCCTCTGAGGAAGGGCCGTGAGGAAGTTTCTGCGGAGATCAAGAGTCCGCAAGGCCAAGCTGCCACTGAACCTGGGGAAGCTGGTCAAGGAATTTCCTGAAAGATCCAGCTCCCTCAGATTCCCAAACCCAGAGAAGTCCATCTCTGCAGTGCCAGAACTGAGGCCCACGTTCCTGAGAGCCAGGACCTGTAATGTAGGGGCGACAGCCCAGAGAGGGCGGATGCTCCCATTCAGAATGCCCCAGTTGCTAGACAGGTCTAAATGAGTGAGCGAGGTCCCCTGGAATGGGCGGTCTTGTAATGCCTTCAGCCCACAGCCCTGCAGAGAAAGGCTCCTCAAGGAGGCCATGTTTCTAAAATCCACACAGCTGGAGGGCCCCGCCCAGTCTGAGGGCACCATCTGGGGACAGAGTGAGATCTGATTGTGGCTCATGTCAATTGTAGTGATGCTGCTGGCATTGTCGAAAAGGCCAGCGGGGACTCCCAGGAGCTGGTTGGAGCTCAGGTTGAACACTTGGAGGTTCTTGAGGCAGTCAGTGAGCCCCGGAGCCAGGCGCAGCTCTACCAGCTGGTTGTGGCTCACGTCCAGCTCAGTGAGGGCTCCTGGGGGCTCATGCTCCCTAATGTGGAGTGTCTTCAGGCAATTTTGGTTGAGGTTCAGGTGGGAAAGGGATGGAGTTTTCTTTAGGAAACCATCTGGCAGGTGCCAGAACTGGTTTTGGCTCATGTCCAGGAAGCGAAGCGCTGACAGGTCGCTGGAAGCAAACTCTTCCCAGAGGTTGACGGTGGTGATATTAGTCACATTGCCGTCCACAAGAAGGAACTGGGCTACCATCTCCTGCGGTGAGGAGGTGTTATACAGGTCCCTGTAGAAACCCATGTTGTTGTCCCGGAGCAGGAGGGTGTGCAGCTTGCTGCACTGGGGCAGGAGAGGGAAAAAGAGCAGCTGGTTGTGAGACAGGTCCAGCATCTCCAGTTCAAAGGCTACCTCCTCCCTGGCTGCCAGGAACCACTCCAAGATGTTGTAACTGACATTGAGGAACCGCAACTGTGTGAGGCTGAAGTCCACAATGCAGGGGAGGTTGTTGTAGGCAAGGTTGAGACGCCGCAGCTCCGTCAAGCCATCAAAAGCACCACCCTCAATCTCAAAGATATAGTTTCTCTGCAAATCCAGCTCCCTGAGGTGCTCCAGGCCCTCAAAGACAGAATCGTCAAGCCTCATGAGGGTATTCCTTGCCAAGGACACTGCCTCCAGCGAGGAGAGGTTGTAAAGCATGAGGGCTGCCATGTCTTCAGTCAGGGAGTTTCCAGACAAGTCCAGGCTCTGAAGTCCTAGCAGGGTGTGGAGAGCTGCTGCCGTCTCCTTGTAGTTCTCTGAGAGGCGGTTGTCTGCCAGGCCCAGGCTGCGTAAGTGGCCTTGCCCTTGGAAGGCGTAGCGGCCAATGCGGTCCAGGTGACAGCTGTGCAGGCTGAGGTTCTCCAGGTGTGGGTAGGCCTGGAGGGAATGATTCCACAGGACCCTGAGGGGGTTGGCATCCAGAATGAGTATCCGGGAATGTGATGGGAGGCTTCTGGGTACCGAAGCGAGGTTCCGCCCCCGGCAGTCAGCGACTCCATCCACCTAGGTCCAAAAACACACAAACTTTAGGCACAGAAATGTAGTTTGTGAAAGCAATTAGCTGGCCAGGAGGTGTTAAGTGTCCAGGGGAAAAATTGTTAAGAAGAGCAATGCCATTGTTTCCAATAGACAGGTCAGTAAGTGAAGACTCATCTAACTTACAAGTGAGTACCAAATGGCCCAGTCTCCAAGGGCAAAGTGGAACAAGAAGAAAAGTCCCAGGAAAAGGATGACACCAGGTTTGAATACAGCACTCAAGTCTTAATTTCTCAGCATTTTGTTAATTTGACCCTGAGCAAGGAGCTAACCTCTTACAGTCTCAAATTCTTAACTGGTTACTAAAATAAAACATAAAATTTAATTGATTCTCTACCAAAATATAAAAAAATGAAAAGTAACTGGGCGTGGTGGCAGTACCCAGAACTCAGGAGGCAGAGGCAGGTGGATCTCTGCGAGTTTGAGGTCAGCCTGGTCTACAGAGTGAGTTCCAGGACAGTCAGTACTACACAGAGAAACCTCATATCAAAAGAAGAAAAAGAGAAACTCAGATAATCTCAGCCTCTCTCTCAGATAAAAGCTACTTACCATTACACTTGTAATTTGCTCATAGGGGTTATTTTTTTCCTAAGGATTGAGTGTGATTGCTTATGTAAATCACATTTATTATGGCTAATAAGTGTTGGCGTGTCAGCTGTAATTACTGCTGTGTGCTAATTAATTAAGCTGTTCATTGTTGAGCACTTGAGGTTTTTTTTTTTATATTTCAGCATAGACATTAGAATGGATATGCAAGTTCCTTCCTACTCCCACCTCCCTCTCCCAAAGCCTACTGCATTCATGCTGGGGTTACATTAATGTGTGGAGAACTGACATTTTTACAAGTTGAATCTCTGCACTGAGACCGATGTTATCTGTATTTTTCTGAGGCCTCTCTGGAGACGGCTCTGCATAATGGCTTTCCTCAGCCTGTGATGGACCCTGTTCCTCCACAGTTGCTGCAGTCAAAGGGGGTTCAGACCTTTGTAATTCCCACAGACCCATCAAAGTGTTGCAAAGGACCATTACAGAGAGCACAGGAAACTTTACCATGCCCATTTTATGCCAAGGTTGAATGAATGGCTAATGTAATGGAGAGTAGAGCTTGAACGTTCGTTCAGACTCTTCAAATCGTAAGAGTCAGAGGAATTCCATTCTTTGACCTCCTTGATGATCAAGCCTCTACCACTCCCCACCTGGTAGAGTCCAGACTGAGCCCTAAAAGGTGGCTGGAGATCTCATACTTTAGTCCCTCCCCCCCCCCCCCCCCCCCCCCCCCCCCCCCCCCCCCCCCCGCCTGTACTCATTCTGCCTGCTTGTATGCCTGCAGGCCAGAAGAGGGCACCAGATCTCATTACAGATGGTTGTGAGCCAACATGCAGTTGCTGAGAATTGAACTCAGGACCTCTGGAAGAGCAGCCAGTGTTCTTAACCGCTGAGCTATCTCTCTAGCCCCATAGTCCCTTTTCTTCCCATGCCTGGTGACCTCCAAATAGCTACTGTGAAGTTAAGCCACCTGTTGCTTTGTAAGGGAATGGTGGCAGTCACATGCAGCTAGGCTGACACTGATAATAACATAGTAATGATTATTGGTAAAACACATGGCAATCGCTACACATCAGACATCATCGTGAGTACTTCCTACAAATTCATTCAATCACTGACACCGTCCAGAGTCATGATACCATTGGTGGAAATTATTACTGTTATTATCATTTTCACTATTATTGGTGCTAGGGGAAAAAGTGTTCTTAAAGTTTTTCCCCTAGCTCCAAATACACTGAAAAAAAATCTTGAATGTAAGTATTAACCCTGGCTTCCAATTTGTCTTTCCAGCTCTTGGGCTTGAGGAACGCTGGTTAGGCTTGTGCTTCTCAAGCAGACGTTTGATCCTTCAGTTACAGGCAAATTTCTGGAACTGATGACTTAAAACTATCTTCATGTGCAGGTAGGAAGTCTTCAAGAGAAAACTGTGAAGGCTCAGGACGCCTCACCCCCACCCCACCCCACCCCATCCACACCGACTCTGGATTTTCAGAAGCTTCAGCTTGGCTGTGAGCATTGCTCTGAGGTATACTTGGGGTAGCACACTCTCTGCAGGGCCACTGAAGCGTTTGGGTTGGCTCACACATGAACTTGTTTTTGGTTGTGAGCCTAGCCTTTAATGGCTGAGCCATCTCTCCAGCCCTCACACATGAACTAGTAGGCAGGACTTCTCCAGTGCTGGAGTGTCTCCCTCAGTGACTGGTAGCATTGGTGGAGCTCATTAGCCAGGTATTCCTGCTCTTGGTGGCTGGTGTAGGCCTGGTTCTGGGGCCTCCTGTCATCAGTATACATGCAAAGGGGACCTCCTGGTCCTTCCCAAGTGCCATCTTGAAAAACCTCCTGCTAAGGAGCAGTAGGCACACTGCACTAAGCATGCGCATGGCCAGTCATGGACACACTGAGTCAGACTCATTCATTCCCTGCCCTCCTCAATTGACAAGTCATCAGCTTTCCAAGCAAGCCTCATGAGCACAGGGACAAAGGAGAGGGCAGAATCCAAGGAGACACTCACCGCCTTGCAGCCTCCTTGCGAAGCTGCAGTGGCCGTCCCACTTCCGTCCCTCCATTCCACAACCAAGAAGTGAAAACCCAGGCAGAGCCAAAGGGGCAGGAACTCCATCTCAAGCGCAGCACTGTAGAAGGAGACCAGGACAAATTGAGTAAGACAGTTTAGCCAAGAGGGATGCTCAGCATGAGGCAGAGGGAGCCGGTGGCTAGCTCCAGCAGCTGTCTTTTCTTGGAGGCCCACAACTACAAGGGGGTGGAAAACCACAGATTATTCAAGTTTCTCGGTTCAGCCAACACGTTCAACCTTTCGCTGACACCACTGGCAAGAACTCATTTTCATTTTGCCTATGCCACTCAATGGGCAGGTGGCTGACCTCTGAAACCCCAAAGGGGCAGGACAGAAGATGCAAAGGACTTGACTGAGTACCAGGCCTGAGGTCACTGAGAGTTTCCTGTGCTTTGCCATTTTGCAGTTTTCACTCTCTGAAGCTCATCTCTGCCTGATGCACACATGAACTTGAGGTATATGTCATGAATGGATGAATGAGTCAGTGAGTGAGTGAATGAATGGCCAAAGGAAGGATAAACTAGGATAGAAATATTGACGGTAGCTCTGGACTTAACATATTATCTTGCTGAAAGAAGGCTTTCAGGCCTAGTGGAGGTGATGGTGCACACATTCAACTCTAGCACTTGGGAGGCAGAGGCAGGTGGATCTCTGTGAGTTCAAGGCCAGCCTGGTCTACAGAGTGAGTTCCAGGACAGCCAGAGCTACACAGAGAAATGCTGTCTCAAAAAACAAGTAAAAAGAAATGAAGGAAGGAAGAAAGAGAGGAAAAAAGAAAGAAGGCTTTTAGAAATATGTCTGTCACATTGGCTAGCTCATTTGAATGTGGCTCAACTATAAAAGGATGTTCATGTTTTCTCCTGGATAAGGCAGGAAAACTTGAGAAAATGAAAAAGGAATCTGGGTAGATTGAAAAGTTCTGAAGTGCGGTTATAGCCCTCTTGTCTGGCCAGTGCAGAAAGAACAGCGATCACGGAAGCCTTGAAATGATACACCTATCAGCAGAAGGTGACAGCACCACTTTCACAAATTGAAGGGGGACAAAGGTCCAGGTCTATCCAGGGTTCCAAATGGACTGAGTATCAAGGGCTTGGAGTAGCCCAGGTCTCCTTTCTGAGCTCCAGGATGGGTCACTAGGGAGTTTTTCCCCCTGTAGATGTAATTTCATGAACAATTCTTCAACTGTGAGATCTGACAGCCCAGCAGCATTCCTGCCCTCCTCTACCCCCATCGGAAGCAAGTGCCTGGTCCAGCATTCCATCTGCCTGTCCTTGCCTGGATACCCCCAAGAAGGACCACAGAGCAGCTCTTCAGTCTCTCCCTGGGTCAGCAGCACCATGCTAACACGAACCTCCTCACCTTCCGTGACACTTACAGATTTCTCTGCCGACACATGCAGACCACCTTTGGCTTTCCTTCTAGTATGTTAAAGGTTAATTTAACATCCTGGTCAGATTCGAATGTTCACTGGTGAAAACAGACTATCAGAAAAACCAAGTGAAACCACGCAAATCAGCCTCAGCTCTCACTGGAGGCCAGGCCGGAACTCAACAACACAGAAACAACCTGGGATCAGCCCGTTAGCCTCTGGGAGTCCCTTTCAAGGCCCTCTTCCCATTCCTGCACCTGTGCAGGAATTACTACCTCACGCTGGCACAGGGCACAGATGGCATATGCGGAGCCATCTGGACTCCTGTCCTCAGTGTCCTTCAGCACCCTCCCACACACACAAGCACCCCTGAAACTTTGGGATCCCCGCCCATCCTGAGATAAGGATGCCAGATTCGTAAATGCCAAGGATGCTAAAAATTCGTTCACTCACATTCTCATCTCACCAAATGTCCTGCAGCTCATGGAGAAGAGATGGGGAAATGGGAATTTGTCAACACTGTAAGTCTTTTTCTCCACTTCCTGTCATGCGTGGGCTGCTACACACAGCTGTACGCTGAATACTGACAAACTAAATTATGATGTGTGAAGGGCAAGAGTGCAGATCTCCAGGGGCTCGCAGCACTTCAGTCTGGCACGATAGATAAGCCTGGGTCACTACACCCAGGGTAATTTCAATTTGTGAGACACCAAAATGTTTGCAAAATTTAAAGGTATTCTCTCCTCCTAAACTCAGCCAACTAGTCCAGAAAAGAAGAAGAAGAAGAAGAAGAAGAAGAAGAAGAAGAAGAAGAAGAAGAAGATCTTGCCATGCCCACAAGGGCAACATCTGGCATTAAGTAAAAGAATGTCATGCATGGAAAGATCATGGATTTCGGAACCTGGACAATCCAGAGTTTAAATTCTGCCTCCACTCTCCATATTTTGTACAGAGTCTCCAAGTCTTGGATAACCCTCCCATAAAAAGGGAGCAATAATAACCCCTCATAGACTTTTAAGTGAAAGTGCTTCACTAACTGTGAAAGCTGCTAACAACCTAATTATTATTTATGAATTCCAAATAGCTCTGAGCAGCTTGAGTGGTTGTTGTTCTGATGTATCCTCTCTAGGATAGTACAGAAAAAAAATAGAGCGAGTAGCATGGACTGAGTGGTGACTGCATCGCTGTACCAACTGAATAATCTACTCGGAAAGGCTGGAATAAAAAGTCTATATCAACAATCAAGAATGAGACAGGGGGCTGGAGAGATGGTTCGGTGGTTAATCGTGTTTACTGCTTTGTCAGAGGAACTGAGTTTGATTCCCAGTACCCATGTCATGTGGCTCACAACCTCCTGCATGCAACTCCAGCTCCAAGAGATCCAACACCTCTGGCCTCAATGGGCAGCCCCAACATACATGCGTACATGCTCATACCCACACATACATACAACTAAAAATAAATCTTGTGTTTTGTTTTTGTTTTAAAGAAAAGAATAGGGTGATTCAGGGACAGATGACTGCACTGGTAAGAGCTATCCATCCTCAGAGTGATGACCTCATCCTGCCTTGCTCTGCTCACTGTGGCAGGCTCTGAAGGCTGCACAAGCCCTGGTGGCAGCTGGTCCACAGCATGTTTGGCTATCGGGATCGCTGCTGGGAAGTTAGAAGGCAGGAGAGTGGAGGATCCAAAATATCTCTCCCTTTTCCTCTTCCCTTAAGATTTCCCTGGTGACCCCAGACTCTGGGACTACCATCGCTCCTGCCTAGAGCACAGATTCCTGCATGGCAAGAGGCTATTATTTGTTTGGCTCTTAGCCTCGTCCATCATTTTCTGCCAGTCTCCTGCACTGTATTTCCCATTTGAAATAGTCCAGGTGACCTCTGTTTCCTTTCTGATCTAATGATGCAAATGAAAATGGCCTTGAAGCAGTGTTCGATGAAAATACAGAACCAGAGGTGATGGATGGCTCCTGCCGAAGCAGAAGGATCACAATTTTGAGGCCAGTCTGGTAAACTTTCTGAGACTCTCAAAATGAAAAACAAAAAGGGCTGGTGTTCTTGGTCCAGGATATAGCTCAGCAATCGAGCGCACCAGAGAAGTGTTTGTAAGGTTCTGGGTGCGAGCCCCAGTACTGAAAAACAAAACAATACAAAACAAAACAAAACAAACAAACAAACAAACAAAAAACAGGAAAAACAGGCATGAAACGATTGAGAAACAGTAACAGACTTTCAAAAACAGTAACTTTCAGGTTGGAAACACTCTTCTAGACGACAAATCTGCGGAAAGCACCGCAGGGCTCAAGATAAACAGTGCAGTTATCATATCTAGTTGGAAAATCCCGGGAGCCCTCTCTTGTTCACCTCTCCACCTCTCCACCCTCCAGCTGTTACTACCTACTGTACCAGTGGCTGCCAGGCAAAGGACCACTGCGATGTCTTTGCTGAAGGAGCTACTAGCAAGTGTCATGCATTCATTACCACATCAGAACTTTCTCCTCAAATAATGAGAGAAGCTAAACAAGCCTTAAAGAAAGAGGCTTTGTGGAGAAGAAAGCAGGCAGTTGTCAGAGGCATTTTGTATTCGAGACAAGTATTTATGGATTGGGGGGATGGAGATCATTAGAAGCAGGTGTGCAGTGTCAAGCATGAAGGTGAGACCCACAAATACACAGAAGACGTGACTACTGACTATGTGCCTGAGAGAAAGGAAGTCTGCCTTTGTGTGAAAGTGAAGGACAACTGCCACCTGGGATCTTGGAAGAAAGGGGAGGGCAGCTAGTCACAGACCACAGAATAAAGAGCATTAGCATCTCCATCCTGCTTCAAACAGCCCCGGGTACCAGGAAGTACCATGGAAAAGCTCCAGGCAAGCTGGTTTGCTCCCTTTGATTCTTAGCACAAGATTAGTGGGGCTCCAACCTTCAGCAAAGTTCAAACCTAGAGGCTCCCAGGGTGAGCTCTGAGATCTGAGCCCCAGACTTGGTACATTAGAAGCACAGAACTCCATCCTCTCAGCTCCTAGGAGAGAAAGCATGCCCCGAATCCAGTCATGACGAAAACCCCATGGATCCAAGCTGTACTGCCTACAAAGCAACTGACTCGGATTCTTCAAGGGTCAGAGTCTCGCCCAGTGTAGTGATCTATAATCCCACAAAGCTGAGACAGGAGGACTGCCATGAGTTCCAGGCATTCTGGGGTTATATAGTCTGAGCACTAACCCCTCAAAAAAAACAAATGAACAATGGTAGCATTATTGAGCATCAGCTATATATATGTGTGTGTTATGAGCACACACACACACACACACACACACACACACACACACAAACACACACACAAATCCTACATTCAATGGCTTAGTCAAGACAAAAGCAAAATGGGTTAACCGATTGGTCAATTTAACACTGTGCTGTTTAAAATTTATTATACTTTCATTTAACTTTTCTATAACTTGAAAATTTTCAAAATTAAAAAAATGATAATAAAGAATGAAATAAAAAAAAAATACTTTTTCCCCCTGAAAGACAACTTTACACAATGGATCAAAGACTGTCAATGTATACAGTCTTGGTAACTCAATAATTCCAATTTGAAAAGTTTCTTCTCCAGTAAAACAAGACTAGCAGTGCTTGGGTGTTACTGGATTAAGTTTTAAAAGAATATCCAAAAAG